TCCGACTTTATTATTTAGTAAATGAAAATTATAATTACTGAAGTTGGTAGGTTGACTTTATTTAACCGAACACGTGTTACTGCAGAGCAATAAGCAATCCCGATGGAGTATAAAATCTCTATCCCTTTGTCTACACTTTCTTCAATTTTAGTTTCTGTAGACAAAAAACAAATTTCATATTACAAAAAGAAATAGCTCGTAATTCTAATATACCTGGAAAATGTTCAATTTACATTTTTTTAATATGTTAATTGAATGAATTACTTGCAATTGTAGACTTGTAATTTAATTAGTGGTTTATTATTGTGTCACTATTGAAAGTTAAACATAGTAAAATGTGGGTGTGGATTGAAAACAATAACACATGTTTTTTTTGTTTTGAACCTTCAAAAAAACATATGTTCATCAGATGAAATGAAAAAACAAAGTAAATGCATATTGAGACGTAAATGTATAGGCTGATGAATCTCCATTAAACAACCGGATTAGTTTTATCTCCTCTCTTCTAATTTTTTCCTTGCTAAAATTATATATGTATGTGTCTTATATTCACGATTGTAAGCTATTTTAATTCGATTCTGCGTATATAAAAACAAACAAACAAACAAAACGACATATTCACAAAACTATTCTACAAGTTGCATCATTGACCTCTCATACATCCAACTTTACCTTCCATAATCAAGCACATGCAGATTCATTAATTAAACATTATCTCTTATATGTGTGTTGTTTCAAATGAGACCATATATAAAATGAGGTTTCTAGAGATCCTTAGAGTCACAGAGATTTTATTAAAATTACAAGAAGAAAAATAAAATGCGAGGGACAAAGTAGTACTAGTCTAGTTTTAGTAGATCATATGTGTGAGGAGGACCCATATTCTCTCTCTCTCTGCAAACCCTTTATAACACTTCATACCCCCACCTCTCTCTATGTATCATTTTATATCCATCCCTATATGCAACCTCTACATATATAATATATATTGAAGTGCTATATATAGATAAATACCCACTCTAATCAATTACTTTAATCTTTTGATGGTAAATTTTATAAGCTGTTCTTCTCTAAGATGTTGGTAGAATGATAAATTTTCAAGATCTATATATCAAGTTAATGAATAATGATCTCAAAAAGTTGAGAGCGGTATATGTATATGTTGAAAATAAATTCTCCACGAGTTTGTGTTGGAATTAATAGCAAGTATCAACTAAATCATAGTTCTTTAACAAATTTCAAACTTAAACGCTTATTGATATTTAGCCATTTTGAATGCCCAAAGTAGTAAGATTCAAATTTTTGTATTATCAGCCAATTTTGTGGCATCCTGATAAGATGAGAATACTATTCTCTTTTAGCAAGGAATATGAGACTTGTTTCCTTTTTTAGCAAGGATAGGGCCTCTATTTTCGAACCCTAATTCACTGTATTAGTCACAAAAATTACATATTTAAAATGAAGACATTGGTTTGGTGATAAAGCCTAGATGCTTCACTTTAGCAAATTACTAATATCTCGCCACTAACCACCATCATAACTTGGACCAAAAAAAGAATAATCTAATGGATCTTGAAAGCATTACAAAGGTTTTTTTACTTTAGTACGAATAAAATTATCTCATCATCCATCTCTCAGCGAGGTAAATATATATCATGACAACTCCTTTTGAATTTCTTTTTCCAAAAAAAAAAAAAAACTCCTTTTGAATTTCAGTCTAACTTAATCTTCAAATTTAATATCATTGAGCTTCAGCGCAAAGTACTTGTAACAACAATACTAGTGAATTATATAAAAAAATACATTAGTCTGAATTAATTTACATTAAAAAAATTGCAGAAAAGGGAAGT